ATTGACACACCTCATTTGCAGTTCTCTGGGTGGGGACTCACTGACTTCAAGGCAGTGGGGACTCACTGAGTGTTCGGCTTTAAAAGTTCCACACTGAGTTTTAGCACTGAAATATGTAATAACCCTTTTGATTCCCCAGACACAACATGTAGCCACATATTAAATGAGTGACTGGTTAAAATACAGAGTAAGCACTTTTGGCAATAAATAACTGCATCATAATCCTGCTTTTATTGCATTTCTCTGAGGCTGATTAACCAGCATCACGCTGTGTGGAAAGAACATGGCATATTTTGTAGCAACAGCTCTGACTGGGGCAAGGCTATAGCTATCACCCTCATGCCTGTTCATCTCCAGGTAGATGAGGTTAATTCACTGTCTGATGGGCCGGAGAACTGATGAACCATTTGATGTTAAAGGGTAATTGATTGTGTCCGAGTGTCGTGAGTAAAGGGAGATCAGGACATTTTCTATCTGTGTGTGTGAGTGTGTGTGGAGGGGTTATCACTTTCAGTAACGTAGATGTGTCAGAAAAGATTACAGACATCATTAAATGTGACCTCAAAGTGATCCCATCTACCTCCGGACTAACTCCACTACACCATTTGTGATCAATCTCTATTGTCTACTTTGCAAATGTTGTAGGGAGCCAAAAAAAGTGTATTTGGCTTCCTACAACAGCTGTGTACTGTCTGATTATCCTATATTTAGTCTCATATGGCCTCTGAAAACCACTTTTAGTTGCGTGACAGTGCACGGACCCCTTCCTTATGCGGTCAGCGACTGTCTGCCACACCTTCCCTGCATGACAACACCGAGCAGAGAGGAAACTGACTAATCAAAAGATGCCACTGACCCCAACCTGTGTGTTGTTGTGTGCCACTTTGCTGCTTTCACTGTGACATTAAGCAGACAGGAGATTTACATTACTCCTTAGGGCAGAGAGGACACCAGGAGAGGGGTTGTCATGGAAACGGACCCCTGGGTGGCTGTCAGAATCGTTTAATTATTCACAACCACCATCACTGAGCATCAGCAGGGAATCAGCTGGAACCGCTGAACCAACTGAATAGTGAGATTAAAATTACATGATGTGGCAAGTGGGGGAATCCAGATAAACTCACCTTGAATATACTAAACTGTTGGGATACAAACCACCTGTGTAGACTCAGCTAATGAGTATTCACTGATCTGCATACACAAGTCATCTCTATGCAAACATGCACACACCAGTGATTGACTATTCTGCAGGCAAGATGCTAATCTATCCATTATCAATGGTAATGTCTGTTTTTGCTACAGGTGTATTATCCTTCAATTAAAAATTTGCTCAGGCATTTTAAAAGACCACATAGTGTAGGCTCCAGGTTTGAACCATGTGGCTGACTAGGCCTTTCTGCGTGAAGGCTGCAGGTCATCTCTTCTTCCCCCCCTTCACCCCATTAGATGCATGGGTGGATAGATAGATGATCACTTCAATCCAAGCAGTGAAAGCAAAATAGCCAAACCCAGCTAAAGTTGGTGGTGAAATCGCCACAGCTAGTTATGGTTAAAAGTAAACGTATGTACTTTTTCACTTTGGCTGTTTCCTGTATCGATGATGATGAACTAATGTGGATGTTTTCTGTTGTTACACTAAACAAATTAGACAGCCAAACTAATAACAGTCCTGCTAAAGCTTAGTAGACTACTGTAGCATTAACCTTCATCCACCTTCTGACTCTAGAGGAAGGAGAAATCTGTTGAGATTCATCTATTGTTGAATAACATATAAATGTATTAAATTGCAGATTCTCATTATATTGACTTCAAGGTGACTATATACAAATGACAGATGAAAAGCTAAAGAATACATGATCTCATATGTACATGCATTTTTGTTGTAAAATCATGTCTAAAAGACACAGTATACCCAGTCAAAGAAATATAAACCTTGTTCCATTCTACTTCAGCTTTTCTGCGCTCATGCATGCTGTCTTTATGGGGCAGGTCTGTGTCCTGTTTCTCTTTAGTTTTTACAATTTCTCTTTTGGCTCCACTTCCTCATTTAACCTTTAGAAGAAAAATCCAGGCTATAATCGACCGGCAGTGTTAACTATAACAACACACAAAAAAAGTAACAGTACTACTGATGTGTCAGTGTAGCCTGTGTCGACACAGCTATACCCTCTCATGAAAACAACATACAATAATGTTAAAGGCTACCGCCCCCACACCAGCACACTCGAGTCTCTACAGTGTCATATTTTTAGTCTTGGCATTTCTCTTTTTCTATTTGCACATGTCAAAAGCCGGAGTATTACATAATTAAATCTCGGCTGTAAAGAACGCTCTGCTCTGTCCTTCCATGTGACATAGAAACATAAAAAAAGACCACAAATATCACCCGTTACAAAGCCTTTGAAATATGAGCAGCAGTGGCAGATCTGTTGCAAATATTCCCATTGCCTACTGATAATGTCAAATGAAAAATTTTAAGGTGTGCAGAGCACACATGCAGGGTTGACCAGAAGGAATCAGTGAGAAACAATGAGGAAGATGCGGTGCAGCCCCGCTGCTGTATTCCTTATGGCAGATGCCTGGGTGCTGCTGTCCTCATATGCACCATTTGCCTGCAAACTGTGTCACGCCAGTCTGTCCCTTCTCATTTGCAGCACGGTGTGAAGCGTGTGGGAGCACTCAGCCATCATGGTGAGCAACCATTTTATGGACAAGTAAATTCACTGTCTGAGCCATATGGTGGGCTGTGGTCTGTTAGGACTGCACCATACTTCTTCAGTGACAGTTTTTATCTTTTTCTTGTCAACGGGCTGTACGCAAAACTGATAAGTCTCACTGCTTGTCAGATTTAATGAGGTAGTTCCCTGAATCTAAAGTATTGTTCATTTTGACTTGCATGTGCTGCCGTTTGTTTTTAGCTCTAACTGCTGACTTCAGAACGAGTGAATGATGAATTCATAACTCTCTTATGAAACCTATTCCTCATTCATGATTTATAATAGTAAAACAACTGCAGCATTCCATCTTGCTATATACGTTTCCTGTATATCTAGTAGTTCTACATGTTTAACATAAGACAGTTAACTGTGATCTCAGTACCACACTATCCCGCTGTATTAGCAACTGCGGTCAAATAAACGGCTAAAGTTTAATGGTGATTTCTTTGGTGTACTACAAGATAGCTAAGATGCACACTGTCGTTTAGATACAATTCACTGTGCTGACTTAATTTCACCATCTTTACTATGTGAAGGCAGGAATTCCTCAAAATCACTAGGCTGCCCCCATGTGGTGAAGTTGTATTCCTGATGTAAAAAAAGCAAATTGGATATAAAGACTGATGTAAGAAAATAATAAAACATCATATTATCACAAAGCATAATTGTTTAATTATCTGGCAATTTCATAACAAACACTGAATTTCCATTTAAAAACAATTACAGTTCTTCCAAAACCAGACAGTAAATGCATACTATTGACTTGTTTTCCATAATGTGTAAATTAAACATTAAACACCTTCTTTACAAAGACCACTTCTAGTTAAAAAAAAAAAAAAAAAAAAAAAAGAAAGAGAAAAACCTATTGTGACCAGCCAAAAAGGGGGTAATGATAAAAAAAAAAAAAAAAAAAACTATGGTTGTGCATCTTCAAAGCATCAGTTGAACAAAAAGCAAGGGACTGGTTTCTCTTGTTCTTTTGCTCTTTTTAACAGAGTGGTTAAAGGTAAATGTCCCCTCAGTCATACATACTCAGTGACACATATACAGTCACAGATGGGTACTTTTCATTGCTCAGTGGGGGAGCCCTGCTCACGTCCAAACACTCTTTAAATGCTGATACGCTTTAAGTCTAAACATAAAGCCTTATGCCTTACAGCTGTTAGAAGATCTGTATGCATTTTGCTGCTCACTACTGTACAGGCAGGGTCTCTATAAAGGCACCCTGTAATGTATATAAATGTGGTTTTAACATTAAAGAACATGGAAAAAAAATCATGACTGAGGCAGATGAAAGGTTAAACACTCAACTTTGAAAAAAACAGTAACAGAACGTGAATATTTGTGCTGTACATGTGGCCAGCACTTGAGACATCATCATTGTGAAGAGATAAATAAAAATGTGATATAAAAGATCCAGTAACTCCATAAAAAGGTGCTTAAAGTCTTTAGTTGTACAGCTGCACAATGATCAGAGGAGGTTTCCCAGTCAAAGATTCAGTTGCTCCAGGTATCAGCTAAGGCAGAATAAAAGTGTGAGAAATTGGTGGAAAGAAAGTAATGACCTATATAGTTATAAATATAATAATGTATTTACTGGTATTTTTTGCTGTAAAGTACTGTATGTCTATAAGGCTATTTAAATTTTGATATTAATATGAATATGGCATGTTAGGACTTGGTTTATTAAAACAGCTGTTTTGCATGAAATAATCCGTAACACACCAAACCCAGTGGATCGATTTTATACATTGTGTGTTAATTTTTGGCTTTACATTGCTGATTAATTCTTCAGTATAACTGCATCATTTTAACCATTTGCTTTTGGCCTGAACAAATCTAATCCATCTTGTTTCATTTTCAGTTCCAGCAGAACAGTCTCATTTCAGTGATAACGCAATTTATTTTCATAATGTCATTTTTCCTGTGTGTAGCTGCACTGTTCTTTTTCCAGGTCATTCGGTTTTCATTTAGTACATAATAAACAATAAGACTGGTAGGTTGACATCTGAGGTTGCTTTGGGTTGGTTTGTTTGTTTTGCCTAAGATAAACAGCTAAGTTACAGTATTACACAGCTCCATTTAATCACTTTGGGTAATAATAAGACAGGTTGTGTCTTTAAAAGGAAAGTGCATTGACTCAACAGCCCCAAGGCATACTTACTATACACATACACTCAAACAAAATCACAAAAATACATACCCAGTTCATAGTAATACCTTCACCCCACT